CTGAGACATTTCGACGAGATCCATCTCAGCGACGGTTGCCATAATGTCGGTGAAACTTCTTTCATCAATCGTATACCTTCAAATTTACGCATAAACATGAAGTCGAGGCAACGCTGATGGTTAATAGTGAAGCCGGCTCTTGAGAACTATCCCTCTTCTCTTTCTTGATTCCAACGCCTCGCAGGTGTTAGAGGAATGTTGAGGACAACTCTTTAGTCCTCTCGTTTCAACTCTTTATTTCTCGAAGCTTGACAACTCTGCTATAGTTGTCGCTTATTCAGACGAGGATTCGTGATTGATCCTGTCTACTTTTCTCTTTCGTATACTCATTATCAGACTCATTGAGAAATAGTCAAGAACTTATGAGACTACAAGATATGTCTGTGACGCGTCCGATATTCGGTTCTGATCTGTGACGTTAATCGGGAAGTCCGTATTTCTGCAGCTCGTTACATTTCGAGTATCTTACGTACTTCAGGGGTTCCTATTTGGATCTTAATCTTTGGTCTATTCCGTCACTCTTACTCCGATATGGATACGAGTCCTAGTAGAGAAAGCGATGTTGGGTTGCACGCGAGTCCGTCGTCGATAGCTTCCAATGAAGAGTCTGCAGGGGAGGAAAACTTGTCGCTACATTTATTGGTGATCTCGGTGGGACAGAAGGTGAAGGAGATTGCGAACACGGTGAAGGTGCGAAGTAGTGCTCTCGATGAAGTAACGGCACTCTTGTTGAGCTATGAGGAATGCCCCACGGCGGAGGGTTCAGAAGCGCTTGAGCGATTCGTTGGAGCAGCATTGGAGGAGGTTAAGGAGGAAGTGTTGGAGCTTGTGGGACCGGAGACTGAGTTTGATGAAGTTGAAAGTGCGATCTATGAGCAATATGAGACTTTAAAGTCCTATTTGGTCTTGGCGTTGAGGGCACAATCTCGAGGTCCAGGGGAAGCCAGGGCCATCCGTCCGGCTAAGACGGCAGTACGAGGTCAACTGTGGGCTAGTTCTTATTCGCCTCTTGCTTTCACCTTCCGGAACCGTTTCTGGAAAGAATTGCTCAGCGACGATGCGACATGATCAGAAGGGATACGGGAGAGGCCGAGGAATTGCGTGAGCAAGTACGAGGTGGTGAGAGCCGATTGACGATAGACCGATAAGCCCACACTGATGAACTCAGAAGAGGATCGACGGTGATAGCGGATAAGTCTGAAGCCAAGGAAAGTGATGAGGATGGGGAAGATTGTCACAAGGGGAGAATACTTTCCTACTGACAATCCCATTGACATCTCGAGGGGAGGTGTATCCTTGGGTTCGCCTGGGATGTCAGAGGAGAAAGCTATCGATGTCTTGCAAGGCCAAGAGCTGCTCAGAGAAGGAGAGAGGGAGAAAATCCATAAGGCCGCTGAGGCGGGTCGTGCTCCTCCGGGTGGACCGTATAAGATCACGGGAACGACTCCACTGTCTCTGTTTAAGACCCATGTGTCAGTAGTGTCGTCGAGTCGGGGGTGGAGCAAAGTTCATGAGTATTATTACCTCGCTCACCACATTGAGGCTCGACTGTGGATCGACGTCGTCACCGCGAATCAGAAGTTGTTAAAGGACCCCTTGCGCCGAGAGAGTTATTCCGAGGCCGTTGCCGATATTTGGCGAGCTTTAGAAAGAAGAGCTGGTAAGAATCGTGAGAGTGAGATCCTCCAGTCTGAGGGCTTGTCGATGAGGCAGAAGAAGGGAGAATGTGTCAGTGATTTCCTTCATCGAGTGAACGATTATAGATTGAGATGTCAACGACTTCAGTCAACGGAAAGTCAAGAG